ATCACCTCTGCTTGAACATCCTTTTCAATCAGAAGGAAACTGAATTTCTCTGAGGTCCTCGTGTCTATTTGATTTCCTCCTAACGCACATCTATCTATTTATCTCCTTTGTGGATTTAGGGAGGAATAACATCATCAAATGCACTAAGGACCGCTAACGTCTTTAGACCTCAAGGGGGTTGGAGACCATTTCATCAGGCTGTGGCAGGAAGGGCACCTGTAGAATTGAGGAAACCTGTAGCGGTGGAATAAGGGGCAAAAATGCATCCACTCTAATGGCAGACAGGAAAGCAAGGTGGAAATGCAGCAAGAACCAGTAAAACCTCTAGCAACACTCAACGTTCCTGTAAATCTCTTCTGTGGCCTCGCATGCTAAGAAGCATTTAAAGGGAAAACAAACAAGCAAATGGCTCGTGGCTCTCTATGTAAACTAAATACCTGCGTTGCCCTGTGCCTTTATAAACAGCTCCAGGAATGAAATGAGAAAACCGCAGCACAGGCAGAGAGGGGAGGCAGGTTAAAAATGGAAAGGGACCTTGCAATACAAGTGACACTACAGATTACACAGTCCAATAAACAAACATAAGGGCTGTTCAGTTCCACCCGTGGCAGCTGCCTGTTCCCAGCGGTCAGAGTTCTCAAGACACATTCACCAGGTCACCCATGAGAAAACGCAGGCAGGGTTTAGAAATGGGCATTCTGCAGCCCACAGGGGTGTGGGCCAAAGTGTATGGGAAAATGAAAGCAACTTCCTTCAGCTTTTATTTTCTTTTATGGGCAGGTGCTTTTAGGTGGACAAATACAGCAATATTGTAGCTACTCTTAATCTGCAACTGAAAGGGCCTGCTGTAATTAATTAGCCCTTCATTACAGAGCATTCAGATAATCCATGGCTGGCAATGCAGTCAGGATTCTGCAGGTTTGTAGACATTCAGATGCTGCATGCCAGCTTTTGTGCTTCTTGGACAATGGAGAAAGGTGGCAGGAACTTAAATGTGTTTACATGGACTTGCATGTAAAGAACTACATTTTAAATAGCTCGTTAGAGCCAGGGATTTGGGATCACTTGTGTAGTGACCTCTCTAAAGAGCGTAGGATGTGCTCAGGACATTTCAGACCTGTGTTCTAAAAGGGTGTGTATTTTTTGGGGTGTGTGTGCAATTTTGCACCTGCAACTAATAGCCAGCAAAGATTTAAGGTTGTGGAGGAAGCAAGGGAGCTGGAGGTTGAATGAAATATTTCTATTTAACAGTTGCATCAGCACTGTAATGGATTCAGTATTAGCTCAGCTCTGTTACTGAGAATAGCAAAGCGGGATTCTGAGAACTGAAGCAAGGCAGAGTAGGGCTTCAAGCCTTCTCCATATGCCTTTGCCTGACCCATGTCCGAAATCCTTCGCCATGGTCTAGTTCCTTTCGCGCCCCCCCGACAGCACCTGGAATAGCAACACAACAATCTCCTTTCTTGCTGATAAGCGTAGAGAGAAGTGCAGCGTGAGAAGCGGGCCAGGTACTTGCCTACTGTGCCACTTTCTTTGTTCCTCTGTGCTGCTGGCATGGTAAGAGACCTGGGTGACGGAATCTCCCCTGCAGAAAGGCCATGGCTGGAGAGTGTGCAGTGCGCAGCTGGGAATGTTTTCCAGCACTCTCATTTCCTGGATGCGGTACATCCCCTGTGCCTTGATGAAAAGTATTTCCCTAAGTGTGGCAGAACAGCAGTTCAGTAGTTCTGACCTTATCAGAGTCATCCTTCGAACAAGGCATTAGAGCGGTTCTAACACCCACGTCTCACCGGTTAGAGCTCTAGGAACCAGGTCAGTACAAACGCTGCTGTGCTAACGCCTTCGCTGATCGCTAGCTGCCACTCAGAACAATGTGAATTGAGCTCATTCTATTGCTCCGAGGCATCCTCCCACGCAGGACCACTCTAAACAATGACTATCTGTTCTTGATGCTAAGAGACCCTTCTAGGTGTTTAAAGGACAGAGGGATACAATTTTCAAAAGTGCCTAGGTGATTTAGGAGCCCAGGTCCCTTTGATTTTCAATGGGACTTGGGAGCTTTTGAAAATTTGACCCAGAGGCTCCATTCCTGGACTCTTAAGGGTTAGGGCCCAAATTTCAGCTATCCAGTCATTGAAATCTACACTGATCACCACACCTGCGTATGCTGGGTCAGATGGCAGCTGGTGTAAATTGGCATTGCTCCATTGAAGTCATGATATCCCGTGGTTTTGCAGCCAATGGAGCAATGCACCAGCTGAGGATCTGGCCCAAGCATTAGGCACTCAGATACCTTGGTGATGGGCATAAGAACATGAATAGAATAGAATTAATCAGGAACCTGCGTGTGCACCTGGACAGCAAAATGCAGAGCTAGCTATTTTCAAAGTGGAATCAAAGCCACTTCAGGGAGCAAATCTGGTGAGGGATTGTACCCATTGGGAGTATCTGCAGGTCTGGAAGCTGGCTTTGCTGGGGCTGGGACAAGGGCTGTGTCCACACCGCCATTCGAGCGCTCTGGAGACCAGCAGCTTCAGATGCCCTGGGGCTCAAGCTTCACTGGCTGCCCCAGCCAGAGAGGCCCAGATTGGCAGAGCCTGCTGAGCACCCTGATTGGCTCAGGTGCACTAGTTAAGGACATTGTCTGTATAAATAGGAGGATCCCGGGCTCACTGCTACAGACCCCGCTGAACTCCTGATACCTCACTCCTGGCTTCTTATCCCCAGGTTCCAGATCCCCCTCCCCTGCTCCTGGCCCTTCATCCTGCTGCTGCTCTCCTACCCTGACCTCAGCTGATCCCTTCGCCTTCTGACTGGGCCTGGCTCATCCACTCCAACCCTGACCTTACCCTTCGGCATGACTCCAGTACAGATTGTGGCATCCAGAGTCGACCCACAGCCGGGATCCCGACGTCCGTACAGTTCTGGCCTTTCCTCCGTGACTTCCACTGTCCACTGCCAGCTTCACAGCCACGTGCCAGCCAGCGTGGCGGATATCGAGCCTGGTCCGGGCAGGCCTCTGAGCGAAAGCACTGCCTCCAGTTTTGAGGGAGACCTCGCTGGTGAACTTCAGGCCTTGGCACTAAAATTAACAAATGACGCGGTCAGATCTGGGGTCTGAACTTGATGAGGAAACGAATATTATGGTGCTATCTCCACTAATAAAATCACTCACGCTGAGCCTCGGAACGATAACAGCACCCTGATAAGTGGCTTGACGTGTTTAGCCTGATGCATCAGTATCAGCACTTGTTAGCATGATGAAAGCCAAGCTACTGCAGTTGCTCAACATCTTTGAGAGCTTAGGGGGCTTTCAAGAGTCTGGGAACAAATGACTCCAATACTTCGAGAGCTATTCTGCTCAGCGTAGGAGTTTTGTGGAGAAATCTATCATAGTCGTTAACTGCACCACAGGGCATGATCTGTGGTACAACACAAGCCGCGGCAATGCAGACGCCGACCCACTGCCGTACCCTAGCACTGACCTGGGGAGACTAGTGGAAGCTCCACTAGCAGGAATCAGTTCTGGGACCAATGAGATCCCATTATGCAGGCGCTGGCGACAATGGTTTGCAGAGTTATTGCAACTCAGCTAAGTGTCGCCCGACACTTTGTTTTACCTGATACCTTTTTGCTGAGCTGCTCCCTGTCGCTATGAGACATAGCAAGTCCTTTCCTTATCTTAGGAACCTATTATTGGTTTGGGCTCAGCCCTGCCACCCTCCACCCATCCTTGGGGAACAGAATAAACCAAGGAAGGAAAATGTGCAACTAAGGAAACCAAAAAGCAACTTGCCTGGCAGATTATTTGCGGAGGATCCGCCTCTGCTTTCCAATTCCAGCTCACATTCACTCCTGGGAATTACTGCACTATGGAACTGCAGCAGCCACCTCATTCTCTAGTCTAGCAAAGCCGTGAGTCAGATCATCATTATCCGGTTTCACAGAAATAATTCTACTCTTGGAATGGGAAGTTGAGGCTGAGGGTTCTCTTTTGCTGAGGCTCAGGGAGATGCGATGCAGGAGTAGAACATCTGCAATAGGTTAGAAACTCCCTTGCATCCTGGCTCACGCGCCGCGTTGTGATGCTGCTGCACCAGACAAAGAGAAACCCCACTCCTAATTCCACCTGCTCCATTGGGTTTCATTAGGTAGTCTCCCCCCGGGATTTGGTTTGAAGCAAGAGCTTTTGCTGCACCCAGATAAGTTGCCCCAGCTGACTGTCGTTACAAGCTATTGAGATTGCATATGGGCAGAAAATGGCATGCTAGGACTCACTGCAAGGAAAGGTTTTTTGTTTTTTAAAAACTGCTGCTGCTTGTGGGCCCCATCTCCCTTCTCTTCTCCAAACACCGCTGTTTTCAAATGCCCAGGACCTTCCTTTCTATCTTATGTATCTGGCCCCACCACCACAGTATCTGAGCACTTCAAAATCTTCAGTGTACATACCCTCCCAACAACCATGGGGGATGTTATTAGATTATCCCCATTTTACAGAGGAGAACTGAGGCACATTGGGGCAGATTTTTAAAGGTATTGAAGCACTTAACTCCCGTTGATTTCAATGGCATCTATACACCTTTGAGGACCTAGGCCTAAAGTGATTTGCCCAAGCCCTGTGGTGGAGTAGGGAATTGCATCCAGGTCTACCAAGACCGAGGGAGACATCCTGACCACTTGGCTGTCCTTCCGCCCTTTAAAATAGGGAACTCTCCTTTGATTGGCTGGTGAATTTTTCAGGCCTCGATGCTGCACATCAAGGAAACTGTCTCAGGGCTTGTCTACACAAATGTTTAGTTCAGGGGTCGGCAACCTTTCAGAAGTGGTGTGCTGAGTCTTCATTTATTCACTCTAATTTAAGGTTTCACGTGCCAGTAATACATTTTAACGTTTTTAGAAGGTCTCTTTCTATAAGTCTATAATATATAACTAAACTAGTGTTGTATGTAAAGTAAATAAGGTTTTTAAAACGTTTAAGAAGCTTCATTTAAAATTAAATTAAAATGCAGAGCCCCCGGACCGGTGGCCAGGACCGGGGCAGTGTGAGTGCCACTGAAAATCAGCTCGCGTGCTGCCTTCGGCACGCGTGCCATAGGTTGCCTACCCCGGTTTAGTTCATGGCAAGCGGGGTGTGAATCTACCCCACCGTGCACAAACAGCCCATGTGGACCCTGCGGGACTAATCAAAGAACATGAATGAACTGTTAAGGTGCATTAGAAGGATCCACAGGGGCAGTGCGCCTGCAGCAGGTTAGTGCAGGTTAAATTCACACACTAGCTTGCCATGGATTGTTCATGTAGGCAAGCCCTTTGTTCCCAGATGGAAGGGAGAATTGAGCAGGGCTTTCTCCAGCTCGTGTTCCACATAGAATCATAGAATCATAGAATATCAGAGTTGGAAGGGACCTCAAGAGGTCATCTAGTCCAACCCCTTGCTCAAAGCAGGACCCCTAGAGAGAGAAGATGCTACTCTCTTGGCCGAAAGGAAGAGGGAAACTCCCATTTTATAGTACAACTAAATAAGAAGAGGTAGAGAGCAGGCGAGCAGCAGTGATTTTGAATTTTGCCGTTATCATTTAGAATACTCTTGAAGCATATATTTTCATATATAAAAACTTGCTCAGTGCTCATCAGTGCTCTTGACCTGGGAATGGCTTTCAAAAGAAGCAATCAAACTGGACACATCAATAAAAAATAACTGGGGGTTACATTAATAAATCAGCTGGCTGCAATATTCAGACAAAAATGTAGGTGTCCAATTCTACTGTTACATTAGTTTCCTTATTTAAAATTCAATGATTGTAAAAGCTAGTAATGCTGAATATTAATCCAGTATACATGGACCAAATTTAGATCTCTGTTCCACATTTGTAAACTGAGAGTAACTTCACTGAACTAATCTGAGTTACAGTGATGGAAGTGAGATAAGAAAATAACCCTATAACATAACTGCTAGAGAATAATACACATCTTTATTAAAACAGACTAATTTAAACACCTGAAATATAAATTGGTTTTACAAAGATGCTTCTGAAACATGCTTAATTATAGCTGCTCTATAAAAATATTTCTTTTGAACAGGTCATATATTTCTCAACTCATTTCACACACACTTTGAGGGGATTATTATAAGTATGTATTTTCCTCTCTTCCTCTCTCCTGTGTATGAAGTGTGTGATTATAGATAATATATATTAAAACCACTATAGAAAAAGGTATATGAAAGCCCTCTTTTTTAAAGTGTCTGTTAAATTGAAACAAGCATTCAGTACTAACAATCAAAACAACGTTCTTGAGTCATCTCTAGCATGCAGAAACTAATCTATTAATGCTCTCCAAATTGTTGACAAATTTCACATCAGATAACTAGGTATAGAGTATAACTGGTTTCTATAAAGCATGATTTCTGAAAAAATGAAATTATGAGTACACTGCACTGAACACCATTAATACATCTGGGTGTGCTACTGTTACTACAGTGTGTGTTTTATATAAAACAGCAAGTTCAGTCAATGCAGCTGGGAGCCATGCACAAAGATCCAGTACTTTTAAAATCATCTATGCCAAAATGTTTTGTGTCCTAGCTACATATGCGACATACAAATAGTTTTGAAGAATAAGACTAAAATGAGCATGATATTGGCCAGCTCTGGCTGTGGTCATGTGATATCGCACGCGGAGTGTGAACTGGAATGGGCAACCTCACGTGTTCAAAAATCACAAGTCAGGCACCCCACAATCATGAGATTACGCGTAATTTTTAAGCCAAGGAAAACATTTTGAGTGCTTTTTCCTTTAGCCTTCTGGATTCTGAGCCTTAAGGGTGCACTCGTTTCCTATTTCCAAACTTTTCTCCCCTATCACAAGGGCTAGAAACTCTCTCCTCCTCCTCCTGCCCCCTTTAAATGAAAGCGGAGAGTCTCACAATCTCTTGATTCCAGCTTCTGGGAATTTCAGACAACTTGCCACATATTGTGAGTCTCAGCATAAAATCCTGAGAATTGGCAACGCTGGCTGAAATCTCACCCTAATCCGAAACCCGTATCTAAGTCTGGAGCTCAAAGCCCCTGCCTGTTAGAGACCTGGGCAGGTCCTTGAAGATTCTACTGGTGGCCAGTCGTATGGTCTGGCACTCGGGCTGTAACATTTCCATGGATCAGAGAGTATACGTGTGTGAACGTAACACCAACAAACCCCGGTCATCAGCAGGCGGGATCCAATCTGGGATCTCTGGAGCTTAGTGCATGAGCCTCTACCGCATGAGCTAAAAGCCACCTGGCCCTTAGCTAAGACTGTAGAGCAGACTCATTAATTTCTAAGTGGTCTCTGTGCCCCTAGAGGGGACAGAACACCACAGTCAGGAGGTGTGTGGGTTACACGCACGCATGGGAGCATCGAGGTATTGCTATTATTAGCATTTGTTGTGTCTGGGCAGGGAGTGGTCTTCTGCCTTCCTGGCCTTGCCGCCTTGCATTTATATTCTCTCACCGGAAGGTCTGATGTTGGGAGAAAACCGCAGCCTCCCTGGGCATGCCTGCAGGAGCTTTCATTATCTGGACACATTCATTACTGTTAAGGGCCCTGTCTCAGAAGTAGGCTCTCTATAAATTATGTGTTCATTTGAAATTATTATTACAAGATGTCGGGCTAATGAGTCTTTCTTCCCCTTTGATTATTTATAAGGCATTTACTTTGCATTAACTGTGGCTGCTGGGAAGGGATCCAGGCCCCAGTAACTCAGGTGGCTGTGGAACAGGGACCGAGTAACCCTTTTCGATTGCCTTTGATCGAGGAAGGCGTGAAAGCCCGTCTGGTGGCAGGATGTGTCCAGTAAACAGGGACAGAAGCACCCTTGCACTCCTGCTTTATTGCTACGTGGACTGCAGAAGCCCGCTAGGCCATTAACAAGGCTTTGTTGTCACCAGCGTCTAGCCCTAAGGGCAGCAGAGGACTCTGGTGGCTCACTGCACCTGCCTGCAGGAGACTGGCTCTGCTTTCAGACCTTGTGTTCCAGGCAGCGTTGCATTTGGGGTTCCAAAGCAAAGCAGACATAGACTGCAATGGGGACGTCCTAGTGCCCCGGTCGCCTAGACTCAATGGCAAAGCTCCCTTTGACTTCAACAGCGGCAGGATTTCACCCCATGTATTTAAGGGGAGGTAAGCGGATGTGAAAGAACCAGGTGCACAGGCAAATGCAAAGAAGAACCAGTCTGCAGCAATGTGTTGCTACTGGCTGTTACTGGCTTCCCGAGGGTAATCTCCACAGCCACTGCTGGGATAAGACA